ATGGTGTTTGGTTAATGATAAAATATTGATGGGAATATGATATAATTTTACCAAAATGACCTTCTAACTTAATTATGTCTTTCCAGATTTAGATTCAAAAACGGGATTGCGTGAAAATGAAAATATCTCCTCATTGACGAACTCTTCCACCATTCATGTAAGCATTCGTGTTGAATATTCATAGATCGGTGATTTATGTACTAGACTTCATCTTCCTGGTAACTTTGTTGTGCGTTGACATAACCCCATTTATTAGTGTCTCTTTGGTTTGCAACGTTCTTTCATGAATATGGAGTTACTGTGTGTTCGTTTGTCATTTTTTGTTGAAGGCAGTGGAAAAAACAAAGCAGATCCGGACAAGATTCGTTTTCACTCTGAAGCGCCTCATTACTGTTGGAAAGGTTAGAAGTTCCTCTCGGTTTGTTTTTATTTTGTGTGTGGATAAATAGCCCTAAAAAAAGACAGGGGTGGTTGGCACTTCCAATGCAGGGCTTCGTTGTATGTGTGTATTCCATTCGTTAACTGCCAGCATGTTTAAACAAACGATTTTTTTGATGTTGGATTGCTGTTTGTAAATTGTTACGATTGGGTGTTAGTAAGCTTTTCACATAAAATGGGTTGTTTTACCATGTGCTTTTTGGATATATTTTTGTGACCTGTGTACATTATGATGAAGCATACAGTAACATAGAAGTCCTTCAATCATTGAGAAAGCATGGGTGGAGATGACAATGACAAACATTGGTGTCCAAGTGAAAATTCTGGCCATTCTGCAACTTCGTCCACATTGAAGTTTAAGATGTGCCACTGTGGAGTGATGGCAGTGTTGCGGAAGTCACGAACAAACGTGAATCCAGGAAGGATGTTTTTAGGATGCCCCAATTACGGAACAAGGGAGAAGTGTAAATTCTTTGAGTGGGTAGACGAAACGACTTGCTTTAACTGCATCCAGAAGGACAGTTTGTTGAAAAATCAGCTGGCTTTGCTCAAACTATCGGTGGTGTCGGTGATTGTACTTAGCATACTACTTGGGATTGTATTATATAATATGTACAAGTGTTGATGATGCTATAATGTAATGGTATGCTTAATTTTGTGCATTAGGAAGTTGTAATGCAATGTATATTTCTAACGTTGTGGAACTTTTTGCTGTGTACTATGTATAGTGGTTTATGTGTATGTATGAACTTATTTGGCATATATAGTGGATGCCATTTTATATTGCTGTCTACGTTGTCTGAGCCAACAACATGGATCACAATGCTCCATCTTCCTCTGAAGTGTTTAAGCCTGTTATCCTTTTAAGATAACTGGTATTTTTTTTTTCCTGTTGCTATTTTTGCTTGAAATGGGAGGACAAAACTTTGATAGTTACAGTTGCTGTGTGGAAGACAGTTACTGGACCCATTTGCAATTTATCTATTTCACCCAATTTCTCGGTGCTGGTTGTGTTCAATGCCTTGTAAGTCCTTCTTTGATGTTTCTTTCTCTTTATTTCTCTGTTGTGGATCGAGAAATAAAACTCCTATAATGGGATGGAATTTGTGGACTGAGTGCATGCTTTCCATGTGCTTGCTGTTTTGACCCTTTATTTGTTTTTTACTTATCACACTAAATTTTTCAAGTTTGCCCCCTTTTTTTATCTATTTACAATTCCTTTGCCTCTGTCATTTTCTCTTGTAAAGTAATGAGCTCTTTACAGCGGCTGTCACACCCGTAGGGTTGTTTTTGTAGATTAAATACGCATTCTTGTTTTTTTAGATAATGACTTAGAATTTGTGACCTGAATACTTCTTGTACATATAGAGTAGGTTGTTCTGCATGTTCTGTTTGCATTGCCTTATGCTTTTTGGATATATTTTTTAAGGCTTTTCCTTAGGCCTTTAGAGGAAACATGAATCAACCTTGTAGGTTCTGGCCATGCATGCACCTTATATGATCATGATTGTGAGGCATGTGAATGTTTGTTGATGTTTCTTTAGTGAGGTGATGGACCAAAAATCAAAGAAACTAAAATGAATAAGGGGAATCTAATGTCGTTGTTCTTAGCTTATTATTGTGTTCCTTGTTCCACAATCATGAGCTAATAGCTATATTGAAAAGGTTGGTAGATGCTTCTCAGTCAGATACTTACGAAGTCATATAATGTCTGAGATATATATTTTATACTAACATGTTGTGTGGTCCTTAGGGGTCCTGGAGGCGTTGTGTGGAGCATATGGTGTGCATGTGTGGGGAGTTAATGTACAACGAGCTCTACACCCAGCTCTACAACGAGTTATAATATCCTTTTACAACTTGCAATCATATAATAACTAAATTTCATGAAGCTTGACCTTATTCAGCAGGAAATTTAATGTTTCTTCTGCTTGTCATCTTGCAATTCCTATTGCGGGCTATAATTTGCTACTTGTTGCTATGTTATTGGGTTCTAGTCAATCTTGACTTATGTGCATGCTGTCATAGAGATTGTGGGACATGAGAGAAAGGCCTTTTATTTGTCCTTTTTTTTATATGTTTCACTCTTTCTCTATTTTATTGCCCTCTTAGTAGAAACAGGGTAAAAATAAAGGGCAACTGGAAAATAAAATAACAATGAACAATGGCTTTTATGCACTTATTTGTTATATATTGTGCATGATTTTACTGATAAGCTCATACAGTAGAAGGCGTCATCAGAACATCAAAAGGATGCCTTCAAGGTACCAAATATGGGAACATCATCAATTGATTTTTAATTTCATATCTTTTAAGTGGTAAGTTATGCTGATACCCACATTTTTTTTTTTGACTTTGTCAAGGTAAAGGTTCGTGAAGCAATGAAAGCTAATAAATTAAGTACTTTTGGTGCAGTTGCTTGAAGCATCCGAACTGATTCATAGGATTGTATTTATTTAGGTAGGAATCTCTTTTTTTTCCTTGTGGAAGTTGAGAAATAAAAAGGATGTATTCCATTTTCTTATTAATTTGTAGTAAATTATAATTTTACAGTATTATAAAGGAAGATAGTCCAACTAAAAGGGGTAGAGGAGGAAAGGGAGACCTAAGAAAACTTTAGGACAAACCTTTTAAAAAAGACTTTGTAGATCCTAATGTCAATTGACTCAGGTTGCTGACCACGCCAAGTAGGATAAATTAAAGGGGTAGGTTGTTATTGTATAATTTACAAGTATTAACTCATGCTTTTGTGTTGCTCCTCTGCTGGTGGTATTTTGATATTTGTGTGTAGTTTGCCTCTGATGTGAATGGTTACTGTTTTATATGCTAGCAGCACTTCCTCAACCTGCAATGCTGGTGTAAATGAGATGAAAATAATCCAATTTTATTTGATTAATCACATGATATATTATTTTTAAAAAATTTTCTTTTTAAAATTGAAAGCTGAATGAAAATTGACTTTGAATTTTTGCCTCTTTGATGAACATGCATTATAAGATCTATATTATCCTTATCAAATTATTAAGCTTGCACAAGTTTGCTATGAAATCTTTGCATGTCTATGAAGTTGGAAAAAGAGGTTATTTGTTGGATTTGTATTCTTAATCTAGTTCTGATTTTAAGGCTAGTCAGTAACCTCTTGACAGTCTTTTATACTCATCAAATCATGGAAAGAATTAATGTAGGCTTCTATTCTCGCAGATATGTTAAAATTGTCAAGGAAGAAGTTTTCATTAATGCAGAAGAGTCTACGAACGCAGAGGCAATACGAGGTGTTCAGATGCAAGTGAAGGGCCACCATGCACTGCCATATATGGATACACATACAGGAGCTTAGAAGCACATTTTGTTTCATATTTTTGTTCTGTAACTCAAATATTTGAAATTCAAAAATGAAACCATATAAGGTTGAATTTTACTGATATGTAGTTACTCTTTGTTGAGATGTTTTCTCATTTAATAAAAAAATATAGAGTGATGTGTTGATTATTTGTCAAGTTTCGTGAAGATTATGATCAGTTGCTACATAAGTTCCTATCACATAATCTATGCAAACAGCAGTAACAAGAATATAGAGTGATGTGCACAGGCTCGAGCCAAAAAATGACCACCTATGCATGCTTTGATGACAGCTAGTGGTTTAAGGTGAAAAGGTCCTGAAAGAAAATTCATAACCAGCTTAATGTATCACACGCATAAAGATTTTTATACAATTTGTGAATGGCAGAGCACAACTGGATAGCCAGCTATTACATTGTTAATCATTGTTGGATATACTGAAACAATCATGACTAATTATATAGCTATAGCACAACTGGGTAATTTTACATAAAAATGGTTGTATTGCAATACAGAGTTAACCACCAAAAGCTGTCACATATCAGAATGTGCCTTTTGCCGTCACATTTACTTCATCCCAAAAGCTGCATTTAAACCATCATCTATCATGTGGAAACCACCAAATGCTGCATTATATATTGCAAACCAACATTACGGAATTAGAGTAATAATCTTTCAGGTGCTAAATTATCCATAATCTATAATCTGATAAAATTCATTATTTATTTACCACCACCTTCTAAAAAAAAATTGCAGTCAAAAACCATGTAAACGTTAGCAGCAACTTCCTTGATAATCATCAACTCAATATCATATGAAGAAGATTGTCTGAACAAGTGGAGATTAGTGAGACAGAGTCACACCTATAACATAAGTCAACATATTAATAAATACATGGCCATATACATCCAACTGTTCCATAACATCATATACATAAACATTAACCTCATATGAGTACAATCATCCATACATGGACAGAGCTTACAACATGGATATGAGCTTTCAAACAAGATTAACAAAATATACATGAAGATTGACATCATATGAGTGCAATCATCCATATCTGGACAGAGTTAACAACATGGATTGTTGCTTACAAAAAAATTTAACTTCAGATCATGCCTTCAAGGATGTACAAGACATCATCAAAAAATTCAACCAAGGTTACCATAACAAGCCTTATATATGATCAGGCTTCCAAAAAGTTTGGTGGTCATGCAGTATTAATGAATTCCCAACAAGGAAGCCACCACTGCCTCCCTCTCTTCTTGTGAACCAGCCATGAAAATATCAGTTATGTTGGTGTCCCTACCCATCATCATAGCTACGTGAACCCTTTGAGGCACACTCAGGCCTTCAATCTTTTTCAATTCTTCAAGAATTGATTTCCTTGTGTCTCGATCCTCAGCCTTATATTTGAAACAAGAAACCAACTGACTGATATTCTCATTATTGTTTTTGTAATTCTGGTTTAGATCCTTCATAGCATCAACAACCATAACCACCAATTCTTCATCAGATCTGCCGCGTTTCTTGGAGGTTTTTTTAGTTGTCACAGAGATTGACATAGGGGACTGTGGTGGTGCATCTTGGGTGGCATTGTCCATAGCTGCAGTGTCATAATGAGATGTTTGAGTTGTGTCACCCAACCAGTCGAATAAGTAATATGCTCCAATCCCACTCTCAGCAGCAGCAGCAACTTCTTTTTCAATTTCATCCACAGCATCGTGTGGTCCCTCTGCATCATTCCCAATTGCAACGTCTTTCCCAAATATCGGTCCTAATTGATCAAAGTGAGGGAAAGGCTTCATGTAAAGTCCTCTAGCATTTGGGTGGGTCTGAAACATATTAACAAATTTCATATTGTATAAACCAATTCAGAGATGTGAACACATACAAATGAAACAATTGAACACAAAAAATAACCTTTTTCACCTTACCTTAACCCAGTCAGTGTAGATGTCCTTTTCTACAGCTATCATTTTGTCTTTATCATTCCAACCGAAACCGGAGCCTCCAGCTGGTCTAATCATTTCACAGATGGCATTGTAATGCCTCTTTAACAGCTTGATTCTTGATGTGATATGAGGAGTACCTTTCAGATTGCAGCCAGGTATCCTCTCAGCCATCATCTTCTCCAATTGGGTTGCAAATCCAGGTCTGAAACCATTATCTCCTCTCCACAGTTCACCGATTTCAAGCAGACATTCAACTAGTATTTTGTCCTCTTCATGAGACCAGGTATGGTTGACTCTTTTCCTTGATGTTTGGCTGTCTTCAGCCATTTGCAATGCTAAGTGGCTGTATTTGGATATGTAGCATTGTAAAAAAGACAAAAAATAATGACCAATTTAAAGCAAATATCACACAAACATATTAACCTGCATAGTACATATTAATACATTGTAAAATGAAATTTGTCATTGTCATATAATCCAAACAGAAACTACATTAAAGAAAATAAACATTGCAACTACTACGTAATTAAACGACAATCATACGTGTCATTTAATCCAAAATAGGATAATATAAAAGTATAAACATTACAACTATCAGAACATAAACATTGACTTCAGACACGTCTCCTCCATGTATTAAACATCTGAGTGGCCATATTATCCCTCCAAACTGTCCATGCATTAGAGGTCTCTACGTGAGTTATCAAATCAGTGTCTTCAACATCATCTTGAGGTGCTTGCGTGTCCATAACATTGACTTCAAAAGGATCAAATTCCATTTCTCTTATATGGTTATGAAGCAAGCAACAAGCGGTTATAATCCTGCATTGTGTTTTAACAGGGTAATATGACTTCGATCTTAGAATGGCCCAACGCCCCTTCAACATCCCAAAACATCGCTCTATGACGTTCCTTGCAGAAGAGTGTTTCATGTTAAAAAATTCCTTTGCTGATGTTGGTTGTGCTCCATGTCTCCACTCAGAAAGATGATATCTTTGGCCTCTATAGGGTGTAAGAAATCCTTCCCCATTCATGTAACCAGCGTCACACAAATAATAGAACCCTAACAAATTGATTTCCAACACTTTAGACACAATTTAATAAACTTCATATGTGCATTACATGTAAATTGGGAACACATTAATATACTTCAAATACCTTTTGGCACCCTTAAACCATTCCTACGAGATATGGAATTTCTGAGGACCCTTGAATCTGCAGCTGATCCCTCCCATCCAGGCAACACATAAATAAATTGACAATCTTGAGAACAAACTCCTAATACATTGGTTGCGATTTCACCCTTCCTAGTCCGATATCTAGGCTTATCAGCTTGTAGGGCATTTATCTTGATGTGTGTCCCGTCTAGAGCTCCTAGACAATTCTATAATTCAAAAAAAATTAATAATAAAGAAGAGACAAATCATATTATTATTGTCTTGTCATGATTACGAAATGAACATAAATGTACACTCCTATGTTACCTTCAACCATTTCCATTTCTCATCAGTTGAATTTGCAGGGACTGGCTCAGGTCGTTTAAGTAAAACAATATGACATCTTAAAACAGCCTGCAACACCTTTGTGAATTGTCTACTTATGGTTTCACCAGACCTCATGAATTGTCTTTTGATTATCCTATTCTTAACATCATGGGCTAAAATGTGAAGGAATATGGCAACAAGTTCTTCTACACCCATGTGCTTAGTCGGTTGAAGCATCCCAACTGTCTTCAGTAACTCACACAATTTATAAAAGCACCTCCTGTCCATCCTTGTATTCTCAATACAAGCAATGTCACTAATATAAACTATTCTATGGAAAGTCACTTCCCTTATCTTAGACCTACTATGAAAATCCCATTTAACTCTCTTCCTACTATTTCTCCTTTTTTCAAACTTGTCTAATAGCAGAGCACATACACCCATCAAGAACAAAGTAATTCGATTCGAACACTCCAAATGAGTAATGAGCACCACGATTACAATGCACTCTGTTTCTGCATTCATCGGCATAATCTAATACAAAATGATAAATTAGGAAATTTTTTATCATTTACTAAATTAATCCATGCAACAATGTACGATTAACAACACTGAAATATATACAACATTGTACCAATATACTAACACCGTGAATAAAAAAAAAACTCAACAAGCACATCAAAATAAAGAACATTGCAAATGAGTAAATCTCCAACAGATGCAATACCCATATTTTTTTCCAACATATGATGACCAAGTAAACTTCATACATGGGTAAATGCTTAATTAAGGTCACCAACATAGGCCTAAGGTTACCACAAAATAACCTTTTCTAATACACAAGTCAAGCTTCACACATGCAGTAATTAACTTCAATTTGTAATACTCACAAACATTGTGAATCAGTATAAATTTTAATAAACACAAAAAGGATAAGGGGAACACCAACAACATCGACCATTGTTTTGGAACCATTGGGGATGGATTGCAGCCAACAAAACAAAAGACAACACAAAGACTTTGACTCATTGTTCTACAACGACCTACACATGGAACGAAGCTAATGTTCTACACAAAAAAATAAAAATAAATGCAATGGATGCCCAACACTCATACCCAGTACATAAATTCATAAAATATGAAACAAAAATTTTAATAAAATAAATACAGATCAACAACAAATAAATATAGATCAACAAAAAAAGTAATAAATTACTTTATAAAAACAATTATGAAATAAATGAGACAGGCAGTGAGCAAAAAAATACAAAAAAAGTAATAAACATTTCACCAACCACACACAGTAGCTAAACCCCCCTTCGTTTCAGATTTGTACAAGTTACACTTTGTATACAAGAGACAGGAAGTTAGCAAATGAGAGAGAGACGAACGATGGACTTCAACATGGTTATTGCAACTAAGAGCGTTGGGTTGGGTGAAGGATCCAAAGTAAGCTAAAAAAAACCATGAACCGACACCACCAAATACGAAACTTTAGCAAATCAGGTTACACAACCAAAATAACCAACATACATCACAAACACAAAATAATGAAGACAGGTCGCGGTGTCTTAGACAAGATAACTCACGTTTCGCAGAAAATGGCTTCCGATTTGGAACGAGGTTAGTACTGGTGCTTGATTTTTTCAACGATAGCTCCTCACAAAAAGATACGTTAGCTTTTGTTATGAAGAAAGAGACACAATTGTACGAAGGCCAGCTGTAACACACGAAGGGCACATTTGCCCGAAAAAATCAGAAAATATTTCCTTCCCTCGGGTATTTCACAAATACCACCCATTTAGAGGTAATTTGTGGAGGTAATCTGATCCAAATTTTGTTCATGACTGGCTTTCCATGGAAAATCGGATACCCGGTAAGTACAAACCAAATCTCCTACCAAACATGGCATTTCACAATACCTTAGTGAACTTTCCTGGTAAAATTTCAAAGTTCCCTCTACCAAACAGCACCTTAAGAATTTTCTGAAGGGATTAGATATCAACTACCAACAAAATCCTCACATTGGTCAGCTGGGTTTGAATCCATGCTCTTATAGGATATAGATCAAACTCTTAACCAATTATATCCACCTTTATTGGCAACCCATTTATTTATTAGAAGAATCCATGTATATAAATATAAAGACCAAACTTGTATACATTATCATGCTAGCTACTTCATATATTTTTACCTAAGTATGCATATTTTCAATTTTTGCCATGCTACGCATTTGCATATAGTTATGGCAAGTGAACAATAGCTACATATTAGGTCTGAATTTATGTTTGATACTTCGGATTCATGTATTATATATGTGTTCTGCCTGAGGCAGAGATGTCTAACCGTAGGTTAGATGATTGATATTCGATCTGGTGCTTTCTCTCTAGATACCTATGAATTAGGTATCTTGTGGGCAGCGAATCACTACACACTATATGACGGCCTTAGCCAAAGGGGATGTGTGTGTGCGCTGTGTGATTGTATAAAATATGGTTAGAGAGAGATCCCCATACATGTGGTCTTTAGCTCCCATTTATAGTGTTTACCTTTGGGCTTGCAATACCTTGGGCTTCTTGTGGATGTGGGTCTCACTCAGGTCCATAACAATATGAAAGATTGATATATACATAAGATATATGTTAGCTGGGAAGCACTAAGCACAAACACGCCAATTTCTCTCAAAATAACACTGACACATTTTGATATGTGTCTGACATGTAGTCAATTTTTTGGAATATGTTGATTATTTTGACACGCGAATTTGACCGTATTCGACACGGTCAAACGACATTTTCATAAATAAATTATAATTTTTAAAAATTTGAAAATTAAAATATATTAATAAAAATATATTTTAAAAAAAATTAAAAGACAGTTTTCATAAATAAATTATAATTTTTAAAAATTTGAAAATTAAAATACATTAATAAAAATATATTTAAAAAAAAATTAAAAGACAGTTAATAAAAACTTAAAAAAAAAATTCACCAGATCCATTTCGTTTGCGGCGCTGCTCTCTTTCTTCCTTCTTCGCTCTGTTCACTGTCGTCTGCCATCGGTTCTTGCTAGTAACTGGTAAGTGCTCTAGTCTCTCTTTCTTTCTCATCTGATCTAATATCTCTATCACTCTCATCCCTTTTTTTCTTCTATTGGAAGTGGGTAATGAGGGCTATGTTGGGGAATTCGTAAATAAGGTCTTGAACAATGTGGGGGGTTTGTGAATATCATCATTTAAGTTGAAAATTTTGCTTTTGGAATTCATATCTTTGCACATATGAAGGAATTGATATCCTTGCCTTAGTGCATGCTTGTTTCAGCTGAAAATAGGTAGGTAGAAAATAAGGTAGTGAAAAGTTTTGGGGAAAAAGGAAGAATTTTTATTTTTGCTTGTAGCAATCAAATTGTGGGGCGTTGAAAAATTGAGTGCATCACAGTTTCACTCCAACCTCAAAATTCATAGTTTCTCCATAATATTAAGAAATGGAGCTGAAAGAAAATTTGCAATTGTTCACCCATTTCCACCGCCTAACATGTAGCAACCTAGCGAAAATTAAAATATTTCATTCCACTCAATTTTCATTTCTTATTTTCCATCTTGCCTATTGAGCATACCATTATATTTTGCGGTCTTACTAGCTGTAGGTATTACTTTATCCATGAAGATTCTGTTCATCTTAATTTGTGTTTGTTCGCAAATGCCTACATATTGCTTATGATTTTAGTTTATGTGCGAGGTTTTATAATGCTACTATGATAGTTCATTGTGGTTGATAGTGTTTTTATTGTTTTGGGCATAAGATGATCAACCTAGAGTTAATGTTTACAACATCTTGGAAGAAAAAGATCCCAAATTACAAACATTATTATGGAACCACTTGTATCTTAGAACTTAGATTGTTAATAATATCTCTGAAGTTACAATTTTGGTTAATTTAGTGTTGTCATATTTTTCTTATTAATTTTATTTTTGTTTGACACATTTACAGAATTACAGTATGAATCGTTCAAGTTTTGCCTCCGCCACTGCCAATGATAGTGCCACTGCTGCTAGTGCCACTATTGCCAATGAAGTATTGGATAAATCCCTACGGAAATATGTTACCAAAATAGATGCTAGAGTGGAAGCAGGAGAGAATTTGTTTTGGATGTGCAACTTTTGTAAAAAAGATTATAAAAGTTCGTATACTAGAGTGAGGTCTCTTTTGTTAAAAATATCAGGCAAATGAATTGGGAAATGCTCAATGGTGAAAAATAGAGACCTAATAGAGATGGATAAATTGGAACAAGTGTTAGTATATGGGTGTCCTAGAGACAATCTTTTGATTAAATAAGGATATTAAATGTAGACCTTTATTGTCGCAAATAAATAATAAGCACTCTTTATCCTGTTTCATATTATGTCTCGATATTACTGTTAATATTATATATGAGTAACTGGATAAACCCCTTGGAATAGAACAGGTATCTCTTGAGTATTTGTGATGAGATCACAATCATGAGGATTAAAGGATACCGCACGTTTATTCCTAATTTTATGTTCCTAGTCTAGAGACACTGAGAATGGGGATCAGTGATCTCAGATAAGACTGGCACGACTTATCTACTTGTATACGGATACAAGGTAAAGACCTCATGTGCTACAGATATGGAGATGTCTTAGCTAAAGTCGTGGGTGGACCTATAAGGGTATAGCTCGCACTGAACAGACCCACAAAGAGACTCTATGAGGAAATCTCACAGAGAGTATCATTAGAGTAGTCTCTTTATATTTGGGTATGTCTTTCCTTAGACCAGAAGTTATTACCTAGACTTGTTCTAGAAGGCATGCCTTGACTGTATACCTCGTCTGCCTGAAACATGGAGACTCATAGGTATACTGTTTGGCTTGTCCTGAAAGAGCACAGGGCTAGGGTAATAAGCTGAAGGAATTCGTCAGATCTCTGTGAGAGATTAGGTTATCTGTAAACCGGAGAAATCAGGATGACATTTACAGGGACTCAGGAATCTATGCATAGTAAAAGAGATGATGAGATGATCTGCCTTTAGAGTCAGTAAATTGAAGATTCCCTATTTCAAATAAAGCTTACCCTAAACCGCAAGGGTTGATACATTTCCTTACCCTAGGTTAATGGGAAGGTAACCGAGATGAAGGGAAATACATACGGCAACCAAATATGTGTAATAGGATGATCAAGTCATTAATCTAACTAGTTCTGGGGCAACAAAGCATTGCTAGTGCTCTGTGTTGTCATTAGATGAGTTGTGGGATTATTGGGCCCGAACCCATTTATGTCAGTGGCTATGTTGGACCTAATGGGTCACACGCTAACACCCAATTGTATAGATGAACTAGCATTAAAGGTATTGGGCCTAATAATGGTCATTAGTCCAAGAAGTAATTTGGAAGTCCACGTTGAGGGTGGAGGGCGCATGGATCACAGTAATGGGCTTGGATAGTCCAAGACACTACTAATTAATTTAATTGGTTAAATTAATTATCAAACATTTAAATTTTGAAATTTGGAATT